GACAGAGTCTCAAGCTCGTGAAAATAAACGACGCAATTAAACTCGTTAACGAAGAAGTTAATCTGATTGGTACTGTTCTTGAACGTAGAGAACCCAAGCGTTGTCGCAATAATGGTACCACAAACTCCAAATTTTCCATTTCTTCTACTTCAATCAGATAAGGAGATTTTCTTTGTTCTTTTCCTTTTCTCAAATCTAATCATTTTTTTGTTGTTGTTTCTCATCAAATATTTTAGACATTTGCTTTTCTTGATGATACATACATTTTTGTTTGTTTTCAATTGAAAGATTGGAATGTTTTAGTGTTTGCTTAACATTTTGGAATTTGACATTTTTTTTTCTTTCTTTCTTCAGATTGGATCTGTACGGTTCGGATAAAGGATGATTCGTATCCAAGTCCTGGACTTACTGTTAATGTATTTAGTAACAAACCTGAACAGCTTCCTCGTATCAGGAACCAAGAGGACATTATTCTGTTTATACGCATCAAGGTACAACACAACGAAGACTCTTGTCTGAAAACAAAAAACAAAAAAACATTTCTCTTTTCATCTTCATACTTAAGAAATTTATTTTTTTCTTGTAGATGAAATCTTTCGACGGTGGAAAAGGAGTAAATGCTGCCTGTAATAAAACGGTTTCTTCCTTTGCGGTATATGAAAGAAGTACAAGCAAGGATTTTGTATGTTACCAACGCACTTCGAATTTTCACGAAGAAGCACAATACAAGAGTTACATAGCTGATTTACACAGATTGCTTGCCAGTAGTAGCAGAGTTGATCAAGGTAACATGTGACTAATGTGAGCTTGTTTAGCTCTCAACCTTTTCATATTACTTTCAAGATTTAGTTAGGTTTAAGATGGTAGCTATGATTCTCGTTAGCATTGATTTCCACTTGTGGTTCTTAGCTTTGCAGAGTGAATCTTACGGAACAATAGCTGAAACTGAAGGAAATTTTTCATTTTTGAGAGAGATCAAGCAAGGAAAATGCTTTGATTTGGTGTGCAAGGTAACATGACCTAACACTCTTACCTTTGCCTGTTACTCCAAATTAATCCTTTTGGGCTCAAATTATATACACTTTTTTTCTTTTGATGACTGATCTTACCTTGTTTTATAATGTTTCTTGTAATGGAGATTCTCCATGTCAATGAAGATATGACCGACATTTTTGTTTGGGATGGAACTGATGCACCCCCAGCACCTATATTAGCATAGTGAGTTTTAAATCTCGATGAAAAAAGTTTCAAATCCTCGGATTGTTGATCATGAGATGTTTCTTACATATGTAGTCAGATCAATCATGTGTGGCATTAGTTGCCGACATATTCTACACTTACTCTTCTATTTGGTGTACAATGTTGACTTATAAACAGTGAGATTGAAGAAGGGGAATTAAGCAGTCTCTCAGTTAAATATTCTCTTCTCTCAAGAGATATATTGCTCGGCTTTCCCACTGTTGGAACAATCTTGAGAGTATCTTTAAGCAGTCATCTTTATCATTGGGTTAAACCTGGTGAGTGGGTGAAACTTTATCATTTACTCTGTGAAGTTGACAATGGATCTTGGATAGGTAAAGCTACTGATTCTACAGAGGTTCAGCTCGCTCGAGATGAACGTTTAGTACAAAAGATCACGAGGTTAGTACTTCTTCAAGTTTCTTTGTGTGGTAATTACTTGTGATCTTTCTGCTTACCAAAATAGTCTCTTAAGTGTTTTTACTCTTATGTTCACAAAACTAGGATTTATGATAAGAGAATGTCATCTAAGTTGGGACACATTCCATTTTGGAGTTTTCCGTCGCCTCCTGGACTAACAGGTTGCAATACTCCATAATTCTTTTCGTAAGTTTCCTTACTGATCGATGTACATACTTCTTTAACATTCTCGGTGTCTTGCAGAGACAGATAATATTCAAGCCCCATTTGTTACACTGATGGACATCATAACATTCCCCAAGGTACCATTCATGAATCTGTTTACCTTATTCCTTATTCCCTGAAAAAAAGACAGAGAACATTGTTGTGTGCTTTACAGGTTACATATAAGTACAGCTGCATTGTTCGTTTTGTAGCTGCACACCCTTCTCAAGTAGAGGATTTATGTTCAAATGAGAATAGCGGTCACCGAGTCTTGTTTACCCTGGAGGATCCAACAGCCACTTTAGACGCTTTCTTATGCGATAAAGATGCAGTAAATATTTACATTTAGCTTAATTTTATGCATCTAAACAGTAGTAAACAGAGACTGTCTCTTACATTCTCTAATCTAGAGTTTATATATTTGCAGGAGTACTTTTGGGGCTTAGGGTTTCAAAACACAGACATGTTGAGGAACAAGTGGAATCAGTTGCTCGGAATAACAGAAAGCTCAAAGTGTGTGACTCCAAGAAATCCACCATGGATCGAGTGTTGCATCCTCTCCTACTATACCCATAAAGCTGACCCTTGGAAAACCAGATTCTACAAAATCTTTGCTACTCGCCTTCTTGATTAAGATTTTCTGATGATCAATGACTAAATTAGAGCTTTAAGATTATCTTTATAAACGTGGGATGTGCCCGACTTAGCTGTGTTGGATTATTTCATTTAAGAACTTACTGATTCACATGCAAACACACAATACAAGATATATCAAAATGATATAATTTCATTTGGAAGATCTATAAAATAGAAAATGGAAAAGATAACACAATTTGGCTGCCGACTAAGCAACTACCTCTATTCTATCAAAACTATCCGTTCTACTCATCAAATAGACTTGAAAGAAGACAAATTAAAGAAACCATTAGGAACTTGAATTACGAAAAAAGTTAGTTGCTGATAGACCATGTCTTACAATATGCAAATGACCAGACCAGAGACTGCTAAGTTCTTTCAAGGATGAATATGAAAAAAACGGCTGCAAACACTATGGACGAAGACCCGGTTACCTCTCAGATGGCGCTCGCTATACCTTTCTTTTCCGCTCGCCTTTTTTTTTTGCGGTTTCTCATGTCTCCTTCTCAGTCTTGACTTAGAAGGTTTTATTTGCACCCATGAGAGTGCCTTCTGTCCAACTATAGAGAGTCCAGAGTGTTAAAATCTCAGGATCCATTTACCGCCATTTCAGGTGATGATTTTGGAGCTACTACCAGTGATTCTTCACCATTTAGCTTTCCATTGTCTGATGTTCCATGTTCTGAACTGGAAACTCCATCATCCTTGAGGTTTTCATCATCTGAACTGCTGCTATTATTCTCTTCACTACTTCTCGAGTCCTCATGTTCCTTAGCTGCAGTTGACCGGACTGCAGATCCAGTGGTGCCTGGACTTTTCTTACCCGCAAGCACCGCATGGCTTAGCGTCGAACATAGCACAGCAAATACATTTTCCCTTTTCGAACTTTTACCCAGCCGTGGTTTCTTGGACGGCTCTTGTTCTCTTTCTACAAAAGGGGATTTGCGTTTCAGCCTAAGGAGCTCGTCTTCCTCCTCGGATGCCTCTGGCTGTTTCCGGGGAGGAGGTTTATAT